AAAAAAGCTTCCTGAACTTCATCATAAAGTAACCACCGAACCCCATTGATGTTGTATCTACAAAGTGGCGAGGTCCCTGAAAATCCAACCGCCCTAAATTACCACATTTGTTGCATATAACCTCAAATCTACTAACTTCTTTTGTTCAATATATTAAAAAAATCCCTTCCCTTCAACTTCCTTGCACATAAGAAAACAGAGGCTACAATCTCACGGTGTTAGGATTTAAATAGGGAACTCTGCTCTCTAACATATTTAACTTGTATGCTCCTGCTGATAAATTAATACTTGGAGCTCCCAACTTGTCTCATTCCCCTGAGCCCTACTCTTATTATTGGCGAGTACAATTGGCCGAGACACAAAAGCCTTGGAAACTCACAGTTTGGTAATCGTAATGGCAATCAACTGTTGTCACACTTAAACAGTCCATGAAAATGTACAAATTGAAGGTGACCTGGAACCCACACATATCTATGGAGCGTCCTTGGAACTGGTGCCTGGGCTTCACATTACTTCTGCCAGCCTGTGGTCTTCCATGTAAACAGACTATAGCGTCTGATCCATTTCCCATAAGGCTAACCTCTCTAGATATTGGTAATACTATCCCTTCCAGGTGGATCTATTCAACGTGAAAACGTTCTTAATGTTTCCCACAGTAATCGCATGATGAACTTTGTTGACACATGAACTGACTGGTATTAACTAAATTCTTTTCTTCATGAGCTGTTCCTCTGAAGAAGACCTTTAACAATGATCTTGTGAGCAGTATTCAGAACACTTAGAGCCCCATGCAACCTCTTGTACTCTATAACCCAAAAAACATCTCCTATATAATCATACCTCCTCATAAACACATACTAATTACAATGATTCTAAACTAGCGTCACACTGAACGTACTGCTCGCCAGACTAGGCCTAGCCTATAGAAAACATCGTATCCCCTGGAATCCTGAGTCTCTTTCCAAACTCGCCCTTGCTGCTGCCAGACGAGCGTATGACAGAGCTGCGGCTACCCGATGCGTGGGAAAAAATTTAGTCCCAACAGGTCCCATTACAATGCTCACCCATATTTTGTCTCTCCCTTTAGCCGGGCAAAGGAGGGACATAAATAGAATTAAGGGTAAACGAACCTGGGCAGACTACGCGCCACCCACGCATACCCTTGCAATAGGTGCGAAATGAGTTCTAGTCAGTTGCTTGTGTTGGCTGAACTATCATCCTAGCTAGACAATCTTCCACAGTTTCCCACACATGTCAAATTAAAATGATAAATATGATGCACTACGGAGAGACTTGTTGCTTATATGCTCTGTAAGGCAGATGATTAGCAACATCTCCTTTCAACTAATTATGAACTGATGCAGCGCTAACTAAGGGCAACTCCCACGTCGCCTGGTGAGGATGGTATTACTTACAAACATACTCAGATTGCTGTGTCGAGTACCAGGGGTAATCCATTACTTGAATTAATAACATGAGCTATGTAACTGGGGAGCTCCCTCAATTCTTGGACCAACAGCCCAACATCCAATTCCTAAGCCCAATCCAACAAAATTCATTTCGCCCAATATCTCTTACTAGCTTGCCTTGTTTAAAAACATTTGAAGAGAATGAATCTTAATCGGTCCTCAAGTACAGAAATCAAACAATTTTTGTCTCCCCTCCCCCGGTTACATGGTTTCATGCTGGAAGGGAGCGTGCATCATTGCATAGCCACCTTTCTCACCCCAGCACTACTGACAGCTCCTACACTACCTTTCCTTGACCTAAATCCGCTTCGATGTAGCCCAACCGACATGTATAAATAGTGAACTTGGCCAGAATGGATGTTGGAGGATGCTTCTCCGCGGATAAAGCACCTGTCCCACAGAAAATGTCTGTGTTTGTTCCCAGGGACATAGAAGTGTAAAACGTAAAGACTTTGAATTAGACCCCACAGGGAGTGTGCTCAGTCCACACACTGTTTCAATAATTCTAATTAATGCATTACTTAATGCTATGCCTAGTCAGCCCATAATTATGTGATTAGTTTTGCTGATGATATAATGATTCACATACCACCGATTCTCCAACACCCAAAACATTCTTAATCTGTACTTAGCCCTCGTTCAGGACCTGGGTTTGAATCTCTACTGAAAAACAAAGATACTCAATAGGCGTTCCTCCTCACAGAGAGTCACAGTTCGTCATATCCAATTGCATGAATGGGTCTCTTGCTAGAATATGTAAGCAGATACAGGTATCTAGGCTTTGAGGTTCCACTACTTGGACCTGTTGTAACAAGACTTTGTCCCAATACAAAAACACTAAGAGCACTTAGAGTTGTGGCAGGGCTTCAACCCCGGTATGGTGCTAAAGTTAAAATTGCGGAAAATGATGTTATCTTTCTAAATAGATCATAGGTTGAATTATCTTGCTGCGGCGACTACTAGCTCTTGTGTCTGACTGAAGCTTTGTAAGGGCTGTTGTCAAATAACTTCAGTAACCGAAGCAATGAGGAATCATCTCTATGAGCCCTCTTATCTGCCAAAATTTTAAAAATGTCTATAAAAGAACTTGATATATCCAAGTCAATCAGAGATCGTGTTTTCTAGAAAGAAATTTCTTCCTAATTGGGGTTTAATAATGCTCAGGTCCCAGCTCATTCAAACACCCCTGCACAGAAGCCCTCCAAACTTTCCTCAGCACTGGTGGAACACTCCTCAGATGGATCGAAAAGACGGAACCTCGACCTCCGCATTGAATCAATACATGATCTCTCAAGTAGGCAACAGCGGCACTTCTCCGCTCCATGAATATTCACCCCATCTTCCGCAACCTGCATTCCTCCATTTCTACCCCCTCCCAAACTACTTCCTTTAAAAGAGCCATTGTCCGCGTATAGCTGTGTCTTTGTGCGTTTTTAGGGCTGAAGTGGCTTGCGGGTGCGTTTGCGTCCCTTTTGCAGCAACGTGTCCCATGAACCATATCCAGTCATTGCAACTTTGATTGATGCTTTCTCCAGTGAGTTGCTAGACTCAGCACCTGCAGAGTCCCTCTTGCTCTTTACGTCGTCTTCGTTATTCGTTTATCCAGGCTTAAGCAGTTGGGTCTAGTCCTGATCCTCCTTCTCTCTTCGTCCTCAAGACAATTCCCTCTTACCCGTCTATTCTTCGCACTGTCCCTCCACTTGCCCACCTCGCCTCCTCGTGGGTCCTTACCTGTGATCCTATCGTAAATACGTATCGTAATCGTAGTAGTAGTCACCTAGTAGTAATAGTAGTAGTAGTAGTAGTAGTATCAGTAGTAAGTAAGTAGTAGTAGTAGTAATAGTAGTACGTAGTAGTAGACAAGAACTGGTGATATGATACCGACAAATGAAATTATAAAAAATAACGTATTTACTACTTACACCATACTGAGCAATGAATGAAATTGAACACAATTTTAACACTTTGAAAAATGTTTTATTAATTAAGCAGTCGTAAATTATTTGGGATTTTTTGAGTCGCTGGTTAGGTGACTAAGTAGTGTTTATGTGGTTAATTTTGTGAGATGAGATGATTTCTAAGTAGTTCTAAATTGATTTGGAAGTATGTTCTGGCCAAGGCTTCCAGATCTTTGGGCCCTTAATGTGCATAGCGATTTTTGCACAGGGTGAGACGGATACGAGGGATATCAAAGAGTGTTTTGTGCCTTGTGTTAAGCCTGTGTGTCTTCTTGATTCGCCGGTACTGCCGGCCCGGGTTTCTGCCAGTTGGCGACTCGGCCATGGCTCCCTATCGTGGGAGTATCTGAGACGTGTCTGCCATGGGAGGAGGTACAAGTACCGCCTCATCTTCTGGGACCAGCTGTCACCGGGCACCTAAGTTACTTGGAATGGGTTGAAGTCCCTTGATTTATATTCCCTGGAATTCAGACGAGAGAGATACATGATAATATACTTTTGGAAACTCCTAGAAGGATTAGTACCAAACTTGCACACGAAAATCACTCGTAACATAAGTAAAAGACTCTGCAGATATGCAACATTCCCCCAATGAAAAGCAGGGGTGCCATAAGTACACTAGGAGATAACGCAATAAGGATCAGGAGCCCAAGACTATTCAGCTGCCTCCCAGCATACATAAGGGGAATTACCAACAGACCCCTGGCTGTCTTCAAGAAGGCGCTGGACAGGCACCTAAAGTTAGTACCTGATCAGCCGGGCTGTGGTTCGTACATCTGTTTATGTGCTGCCAGCAGTATTAGCCTGGTTGATCAGACCCTGATCCACCACAAAGCCTAGTATCAGACCGGGCTGCGAGGGCATTGCCCCCTAAACCCTCTCCAGGTATATCTTTACCGGGGATCGAGCCATGGACACTCGGTGTGTGAAGCCAGAGCATTGCCTACCAAGCCACGGGACACCGTGACTCTTGTGCTTTCAGCTCACACACTGAGTGTCCATGGTTGGATCCCCGGTATGAGTGGAAACGTTGGGAGTCTTTCCTTACACCTGCTGTTCCTGTTTACCTAGCAGTAAGTAGGTACCTGGGTGTTAGTTGGCGGTTGTGGGTTGCATCCCAGGGGGTGGTAACATACCTTAGATAGGGATGAGTTTTGAAATAGGATAACAGCTCATACCTTGTACCGCTGATATGAAAAAAAGCGGTTAGCCTGTACAACTGATATGTAAAATAAATAATAAAGGCTTTACCTAAGGCGAGATTCAATACCGCTAGAGCTGTAAATACTTATTTAGGTACAGGTACGCATAAATACAATTACATAAATTATCATACATAGAAGCATATATGTAGATTACCTAGGATAACCCAAAAAAGTCAGACAAAGTGACTTACTTCCAATGAGGGTCCCTGATAATGGCCCTTTCTGTGCTCCTGTAATTTGAAAACTCAGCATTACTGCCAGGGATCTGGGAAATAGGGCTTAAAACGACTTGCTCTTAACAACCACAACCCCAGCAACATGAAGTTACCATGTTCTTTATTGTACTCCTGTAATTTGAAAACCGGGCATGAGTTCCCCGGGAGCTGGGAGGAAGGGTTCATAATGGCCTCCTCAGTGGTGGCCCTTAACTCCAACAATAACAATAACAAGCTCGTCAACATGACAGAAAAAAATCCACCCATATGTGTCATCCGTCGCTACCGTAAAGGAGATGAAATATGTATTCGGGAAATAATAACAGAGGCGACCATGGAAACAGTGGGAGACTTCTTCTGGGCAGCTGTCTTGTCAGAAATATTTCCCCAGGTTTGAAGTTTTCCATTATTTAAACGTAGGTTGTACTTTCATGATGGGTTTACCTGGAGTGGGTTTCGGGGGTCAACGCCCCCGCGGACCGGTTTGAGACCAGGCCTCATGGTGAATCAGGGTCTGATCAACCAGGCTGTTACTAAATTAGACACATGTGCAACTCTTGGGTTTACCTGGAGAGAGTTCCGGGGGTCAACGCCCCCGCGGCCCGGTCTGTGACCAGGCCTCCTGGTGGATCAGAGCCTGATCAACCAGGCTGTTGCTGCTGGCTGCACGCAAACCAACGTACGAGCCACAGCCCGGCTGATCAGGAACTGACTTTAGGTGCTTGTCCAGTGCCAGCTTGAAGACTGCCAGGGGTCTGTTGGTAATCCCCCTTATGTATGCTGGGAGGCAGTTGAACACTCGGGCCCCTGACACTTATTGTATGGTCTCTTAACGTGCTAGTGACACCCCTGCTTTTCATTGGGGGGGGTGCATCGTCTGCCAAGTCTTTTGCTTTCGTAGTGAGTGATTTTCGTGTGCAAGTTAGGTACTAGTCCCTCTAGGATTTTCCAGGTGTATATAATCATGTATCTCTCCTGCCTGCATTCCAGGGAATACAGGTTTAGGAACCTCAAGCGCTCCCAGTAATTGAGGTGTTTTATCTCTGTTATGCGTGCCGTGAAAGTTCTCTGTACATTTTCTAGGTCGGCAATTTCACCTGCCTTGAAAGGTGCTGTTAGTGTGCAGCAATATTCCAGCCTAGATAGAACAAGTGACCTGAAGAGTGTCATCATGGGCTTGGCCTCCCTAGTTTTGAAGGTTCTCATTATCCATCCTGTCATTTTTCTAGCAGATGCGATTGATACAATGTTATGGGTATCTTTATTGAGGAAACGTTTCGCCACACAGTGGCTTCATCAGTCCATACAAAGGAGAATCTTGAAGAATAGGAGGAGAATGAGGTAATCATTCTTCTCCTGTTCTTCAAGATTCTCCTTTGTATGGACTGATGAAGCCACTGTGTGGTGAAACGTTTCCTCAATAAAGATACCCAAGAGTTGCACATGTGTCTAATTTATCAACATGTCGGTTCTCTGAACCATTCATCTACAAACCTGTCAGACACTGCAACTTCTTGGGATCTTAATACTTGGGAATTCTTCGCTTGCCTAATTCTTGGGCACGACCGGGCCGCGGGGGCGTTGACCCCCGGAACTCTCTCCAGGTAAACTCCAGGTAAACATTGAACAAATGTTACACCACCTATGACTGCTGCACCTCTCCTGCCAACGGTTTATAAGCTCCTTCTCAGCAGGGACTGATTACCTCATTCGCCTCCTGTTCTTCAAGATTCTCCTTTGTATGGACTGATGAAGCCACTGTGTGGCAAAACGTTTCCTCAATAAAGATACCCAAGAGTTGCACATGTGTCTAATTTATCAACATGTCGGTTCTCTGAACCGTTCATCTACAGGCTGTTACTGCTGGCTGCACACAAGCTGACGTACGAACCACAGCCCGTTTGGTCAGGTACTGACTTTAGGTGCATATCCACTGCCTTCTTGAAGACAGCCAGGGGGTCTATTGGTAATCCCCCTTATGTATGCTGGGAGGCAACTGAACAGTCTTGGGCCCCAGACACTTACTGTGTTGTCTCTCAGTGTACTCGTGCCGCCCCTGCTTTTCATCGGGGGAATGCTGCATCTCCTGCCGAGTCTTTTGCTTTCATAGGGAGTGATTTTCGTGTGAAGGTTTGGTACCAATCCCTCCAGGGCCTTCCAAGTGTATATTATCATGTATCTCACCTGCGTTCGAGGGAATACAGATCAAGGACCTTCAACCGTTCTCAGTAATTTAGGTGCCTTATCGTACTTATGTGTGCTGTGAAAGTTCTTTGTATGCTCTCCAGATCTGCAATGTCACCAGCCTTAAAGGGGGCCGTTAGTGTACAGCAGTATTCCAGCCTAGAGAGGCGCAAGTGATTTGAAGAGAATCATCATGGGCTTGTCATCCCTAGTTTTGAAGGTTCTCATTATCCATCCTATCATTTTCCTAGCAGATGAGGTAGATACATTGTTGTGGTCTTTGAAGGCGAGATCCTCTGACATTATGACTCCCAGGTCCTTCTATTGTATGGTTAGAATTTGTCGTATACCCTGATACATTTTTAATTTCTTCAAGTTTCCCATATCTGAGTAGTTGAAATTTCTCCTTGTTGAACTTAATATTGTTTTTAGTGGCCCATATGAAGATTTGGTTGATGTCCACTTGGAGTCTCTCAGTGTTTTTGTTGGAGGTCACTGCCATGGTAATCGAGGTGTCATCCGCAAAGGGAGACACGGAGCTGTGGCTTACATCTCTGTCTATGAGAATGAGGAATAGAATGGGAGCGAGTACTGTGCCTTGTGGAACAGAGCTTTTTACCATGGCTGCCTGGGACTTTACTCTGTTTACTGTTACTCTTTGTGTTCTGTTTGTCAGGAAGTTATAGATCCATCTACCAACTTTTCCTGTTATTCCTTTATCATGCATTTTGTGTGCTGTTACACCATGGTTACTCATCAGAAGCTTTTGCAAAGTCTGTGTATACTATGTCTATATTTTGTTTATCCTCTACAGCATCCAGGACCTTGTCATAGTGGTCCAGTAGCTAGGACAGGCAGGAGCGACCTGCTTTAAACCCGTGTTGCCCTGGGTTGTGTAATTGATGGGTATCTAGGTGGTTGGCAGTCTTGCTTCTTAGAACTCTCTCAAAGATTTTTATGATATGGGATGTTAGTGGTATCGGTCTGTAGTTCTTTGAAATTGCTTTACTGCCACCTTTGTGGAGTGGGGCTATGTCTCTTGTTTTTTAGTGTGTGTGGGATGACCCCTGTGTCCATGCTCCCTCTCCTTAAAATGCTGAAGGCACGCGATAGGGGCTTCTTGCAATTCTTGATGAACATGGAGTTCCAAGAGTCTGGGCTTGGGGCAGAGTGCATGGGCATGTCATTTGTTGCCTCTTCAAAATCTTATGGAGTTAGAGTAATATCCGGGATTTTTGAGATGACCAAATTTTGGGTTTCGTTCATAAAGAATTCATTTAGATTGTCAACCCTTAGTCTGGGCAGTGGCTCGCTGAACACTGAGTCATATTAGGACTTTAGTGTGCTTTGATGCTTGCCAAGGGCTTGTGATTCAATGAATAAGTATATTCAGCTATAGGTACACATAAATACAGTTATATAAGTTATACATAGCAGCATATACGTATGTAGATTACCTAGGATAACCCCCCAAAAAATGTCAGACTACCTACCTGAGTTATTTCCACTTTTCTGGATCAAACTTGATTACCTCTCATGCTTAAACATTATGAATATAACACCAATGAATTTAGTGCTTACTTATGAATACAACAATAATGTAGATTGTGGCACTGAGTTTTTTTTTTTTTTTCAAGTAAGCCATATAGAACACAAAACCAGGCACAAGATAAAAGCATGCAAATTTTATTCAAATTAAGTTTTTAGATATCTTTTATGTGTTTTATTATACAGATATTTGTTATGAGTTCATAGGAGTAATGAATTTTGAAAAGATAATGTAGGATATTTTCATTTATTTTGGTAATAGTTACCCAGAAATACTCACAACTTTGTAATTATTTTACACTTTACAGCCCATATAACCTATGAACAATTCAATTCAATTCAATTCAAAGTTTATTCTCTATAAAGATTGCAATGTTGAATTTACAGAATTTGGTTGTTGTGTGGTTTACATGTAGTTAAATAATGATTACAGAGTGTACCACTAGAACGCCTAGCATGGCTAGGCATTTCGGGCAGACTTAGTTTAATTCTTTATTTTAAAATATTACAAATTATGAGGTAAGTTGGTATTATGGCTAAGTGACTAAATACTAGTTTGTGAGTTTAGCAATGTGAATGCTTTTGTTTTGGCACAGTACATAGTTTCAGTATTGGAGTATCATAGGATTCATTATTTTAAGATTGAGATTAATATTTCTGTTTATGGTCAAATGGGTGAGTGAGTGTAAGTGTGAACCACCAGGTGGTATTCGTGTAGTTAGTTGATGGGGTTTATCAGGGAGATAAGATGTTTTCTAATGGTAGTTTTGAAGGTGATGAATGTGTCTGCAGTTCTAGAGTTCTCAGGTAGGGTGTTCCAGATTTTAGGGCCTTTGACATACAGTGGACCCCCGATTAACGATTTTAATCCGTGCAAGAGGGGTAATTGTTATGCGAAATAATCGTTATGTGAATGAATTTTCCCCATAAGAAATAATGGAAATAAAATTAATCCGTGCAAGACACCCAAAAGTATGAAAAAAATTTTTTTTTACCACATGAAATGTTAATTTTAATACACACAAACTGAAAAAGGCATGCACACTTACATGACACTTACTTTTATTGAAGATCTGGTGATGATGATGGGATGGGAGGAGGGAGAGCATTATCTTCTTACTGTTTAGAAAGGAATCCCTTCCATTAGGACTTTAGGTAGCAAGTCCTTTTCTGGGTTAAACTTCCCTTCTTCTTTTAATGCCACTAGGCCACTTCAGAGTCACTGGACTTCTTTCGCACAAGATATCTGTCATAGTGGCCTGTACCACCTGTTCCTTTATGACTTGCCTAAAGTGTTTCACAACATTGTCATGTAATAATCACCAGCACGGCTTGCAATAGCTGTGTGAGGTGATTTCATCCATGAAGGTTTGCACTTCAAGCCACTTTGCACAGATTTCCTTAATCTTTGTAGTAGCAACTTCTTCAATTTCTCTCTCCCCTCCTCTGAACCATTTCCCCAGGCCCTGGCCTCTTGCTCTTGAAGTTGATCTATCAGCTCATCAGTGGTTATTTTCTTCTTTGGTCCTCCTCCACCAACTCTTCCACATCCTCCCCACTAACCCCCAAAACCCCAAGGACTTTCCCAATGCCACAATGGTTTCCTCAACTGCATAACATCTCAGGTTAGCCTTAAACCCTTCAAAATCCCTTTGTCTA